CAGGTACACTGCCTGCACGTACAGACACACTCTTACCCAAACAGACATGACATACACATCTCCTGGTGAACAGGTAAGTCTTTTGACAATGCCCTTTGCCTTAGCTTTTAGATATGCCTGTTGACAGAGAACTTGACCTTTGACCTGCTTTCATGTTTCTGAGCTCTGGCGAGATACCTTTTCACAATGCTTTACTTTTTCAAGGCCCGTGCTGCTTTATTTTTACAAGGCCTGAGGCCTATATCGGGTAAAGGCCATTTTATATATATCTATATATCTATATATATATATATATTTGACATATATGTATATATATGTTGTCACATGACTATGAACTAAAACAGCGCACTTTGCGAAACAAATGGTAAAAGTGAAAAGACAAGAGTAACATGAAGGGCACATTGAAACCATTCATTTTTTTCTCTCTTCTTTTAACTCCCCTTTCACCGTGCCTCTCACGTATAAGGCTCAAAACGTTGATGAAGTTGAGACCCGCATCCCCGTGCGCCATAACGGCCCACTTGTACGATGTGAGAAAGAGGTAGAAGTAAAGGGGGAGGTGATAAACACAGGGAAGAGAGATGGAGAGAAGAGAAACAAAGAAAGAGAATTTCGAAGTAAGGGAAAGTACGAAGTGTGAAATGAAGATCAAGGCAAAGGAGAGGATAAGAAAAGGCTCAAGAATGAGTCTGTCCTTGGCAAATGGAAGACCTAGCTGAGCATTATCAGCACAACAATTACCACGACGGCCGACATTGAGCATGCCCACCATACACTCCCGACAAATGGCATGTTGATTGCAGGCCAGAATGAAGGAAGAACGCTCACCACAAACGACCATGCATTCAATATAGCGCCCATGGCCGCAAAATGGACATATAGTGTCCAGATGCGGAGGGTCCCTGCAGTCAGGAATGGAGGGACAGTCCTCTACACACATGGATGCAGAAAACATCTCATTGAAGTGATTGTGACAGAGACGATGGCGGCTACAGAGTGCAACAGTGTCTGTAGCTGTGCAAAGGAGAAGGTCGCGCAGTGTTGGTACATTGTCCTGCTGCAGCACGGGGCCAGAGGAATGATCTTCGGGATAGAAGAGATTGCCGACAGTTTGGTGTGCCAAGAAAACAACATCATTATGTAAGAAATCAGTAACATCAGTCATGACATGGACCATGATGCCATTGTCCCACAACTCCCAGTGGTCAGAGGGATGTACAATGGCCATGTAATGGCCAGGTCTGTGCACAATGCAGGCCGAGATGTGGGATGGAGGATTAAACCACTCACCTGCTCGAGCATTGTGGAGCTCAAGTTGGCGGTCCCTCATTGCTATTTGTAGGACAGCAATAGTAAAGCCACTTTCCCTGGTATGATTAAAATCCTCTGGCTGCAGGCAGGAGAGATCAGCACCAAGCTGAAGGGCGATTGCAAGGAAGTCTGATGGTGTATAAAACAGGTGGTGCAGTCAGACCACAGAGTTTAAGGAGGATCTCAGGCTGGTGCGCGGGATGCTGGCCAACAATTTGCAGATCACCCAGATGGTGTTGCAAGCCCAAAATGTATTGGGTTGCTTGCTGGTCAGTCATTTGCAGATCACCCATGTGGTCTGCATGCGGTGGGGCACAAATTTGTGGTTCATCTAAACGATGCTGGTCAGCCACTTGCAGATCCCCCATGTGGTCTACACCTTGTGGGGTTAACTGCAATCCGGGCAGATCATGTTCCAATCCCTCAACGTTTGGGGCTGCATCCTGAGTATGGACTGTCCCTGGAATCGCGAGTGTACTCTGGGCAGGGACCACATCCTGTTGTACAGGTGAGTCATGAATATCTAACACTGAAGGACATAAAACATGGTGTTGTGGAACTGTTTGCTTACATCCAATACTGCTTCAGATAGAAAGTTAGACTGTCATGAGACAGGACAATTCCTTCTGTCATTCAGGCTGTGAACCAGAGTAATGCAAGCAATTGGGATTTGATGACCAAGATCTTAAATTATGGGCTCTGCTCATTATGTGGACCCATGTGGCATGAGTTGCAAGGTTCCTAACACACGCACAAGTGAATGCATGGACCCATGTCAGTGCAAGTGAATACGAGTACATTGGCAAATTGCACTGGCTGTGTTCGGACACTCAGAGATGACACTACCTTAACCAACTGCATCCTTACTTCCAACCTCCTCCAACAAAATATGGGCTGCAAACGTGCCCTACAAGCTAGCCATCTCTCTCAGGAGCATAGAATTGCTTGCGAGCATATGCTTTGTGGTCGTAAGGAGTGGTAATCTCGCTCCTCCACCGCCATCTGCTCCCCCTTTCAACTGGTCCAGACGCACCTCTTCGGCGTCCAGGTCCATTGTAACTGCTGCTTACCCCCATACTACTAGCTCCAGCAGTGCTGATAGAACTAACAGGCCCTCTCCTATCACTCCCAGGACCACTTCGGCCACCCTTACCCCGATACCTCTCTGTGTCACCCCCCTGTACCCCATAATACCTCTCTGTATAGTAACTGCCGTTATGACCCCCCACATCCCCATCATAATAGCTATCAGATCTGTCGCCCCTATAGGCCCCTCTTCCTCTCCCACTGCCTCTTGACATGTACCTTGTATTTTCATACCCTCCAAAAACTCCTCTACTCCTTGGTCCTCCTCCCCAGTATGCCCCATCCCAACCATGCATCTCCACTGCTGACACTGATGTGTCCTCCGCTCCCCTGCTTCCACTGCTGCCACACACATCTAATACACAGTCATGATGCTCATTATGATCACTGACTTGAAGCAAACTATGATCCAATAAACCAGCTCTAGCATTATTTGATGAAATAGGTTCCTCACCATCACTCGCATCTCCATTGTACAGAAAAGCCTCCGAATCTTCAATTGCAGCAGCCCACCCTGTTGATCAAACCAAAAGGGATATTCAGCAAGTGAATGAAGAGAGGTGGGATGCAAATTTATTCGTTACACACTGGAGTTGTTCATTTGGATGTCAAGTGCAATAATTTAGAGAAACGGAAAAAAGGCGGTGGGATGCAAGAAAAAGAGTGCACCAACACAACCAACCGGCTCAGCATTCCACATATCCGAAGACTGAATGAGTGGGGTCAAGCGTGTATTGAAAGATAAAGGAAAAACTAAACAAAATCGCCGTGCAACTTTAGCAAAACCTTTTTTTTTTTTTTTTTTTTTTTAAAACGCAGCTCGGACTACAACCAGGGGTGGTATGAGCACACGAAACTTCAGCAAAACTTGCGAAAGTATATTTGTGCTACCTTCTTCACCCGAATACAACTTACGGTCATTATAGCTGCATTTGGGGCATCTTTCAGTCTTAATACAGCTATAATGACCGTACGGTATTCAAGGGAAGAAGGTAGTGTCGTAGAACAACAGTGAAGCAGCCTTGACTACCACAATCCGTAGATGCTTTTTATGTTTGAAAGTTTGAATTAAATTTATGCTTAAAGTCCAGACAGCTTCTTATCAATGCTATGAGCCCGTCAGTTTCATCCTTTAGACTCCAACAAGGTTGTAGTCCCACCAAGCATTGCAACTTGAAACGGTTTTCACCTTTTTGCAGACACAGATGCGGATCCCAGGTCTCGATCCCTAGACCTCACCTTACCTTACCTTACCTGTGTACAGTATCAAGTCAACCCTGTGAGTCTTGAACCCGTGACCTGTGTGTTAGTAGCTGAAAGTTGTCTGTCGTAGGTCTGAGTAGTTGTCGGGTCTTGAACCTTAGACCTGTCGAAGTAGGGGTCATAACTGCATAGGGGTCATAGTTGTTGTAGTTCTGAAAGGTCAAGGTGGTAGCTGCTACAGTCCTGAAAGGTCAAGGTCGTAGCTGCTACAGTCTTGAAAGGCCAAGTCCGAAAACTTCCGGAAGGTCCAGAAGTGGCCTGTCAAGTTCTTCTCACGTTTTACACAGCAGACCAGAGGCAAGCGGGCAAGTGGTGAGTCCAACTTCGCTTAGTCAGCGGTACCCAGTCCCAGTCTCACTTTGTACAGTCAGCAAGTACCATGAAGGACTGTGTGCACCATGGGCCCGGTGGAAAAGGGCAGACCAACGACTTACAGGAGTATAATCAACAGGCAGCGTCCAGCCATTCATTCATTCCTGCGTGAGCCATGCGGAAGCGCTGCCCTAGCGTCTTGTGCGAGGTGGTCTGCAGAGGCCTGAAGTCGAAGAGGGCTGAGGTGGAGATTAGCGCAGCCATAGCTGCTTGTAGTTAGGGGTAGTTGGCGGCCATTGCTGCCATAGATAGTGTTAGGTGTTAGTGTGTGTGTACGGGTGTGTGATACAGTGAACTTGTGTGGGGTATTCAGGGTGATCCAGAGTTGAGTATGTGCAAACAGTGGTGTTGGACACAGCGACGAGAGTTGGGATGTACAGGCGCTGATGGGCCATAGCCTGTTGAAGCGAGTTTGCATCTGAACTGTGTTCTCGGGTTCCATATCTCCGAGCTTTGAGTGGGCGCTTGGCGCCAGTGTGAACTACCATCCGTTTACATGTACGCGAAGTGAAGAAGAGAGCGAGTCTGATTGCATTGGTATCAGAGCCGATTCCCGTTATCCCACGCGCCATCGTTGTCTAGGTGCCATAGCTGAAGCTGCGCCATCGAAGGAGGAAGGTCCACCATAGCTGCGCCGCGGAAAAAAGGTGCCGAGTACCTCAAAGAAGACAACCACGAAGAGAGAGAGAGAGAGAGAGAGAGAGAGAGAGAGAGAGAGAGAGAGAGAGAGAGAGAGAGAGAGAGAGAGAGAGAGAGAGAG